ACTTTTTTATTTTTAATTGTAAATTTTTAATTGTAATATGCACAGTTACTTTTATAGCCATACGTTTATAGTCATTTTTAATCTATGATCATTTTATTCCAAAGGTTATTGCTATTAATATTTAACATAATATTATGTTTTTATGTATTGTTTAATTACCAAATGGCTGGATAAGAATAATAATTACCAATTTGAACAGCTAAATTAAAAATTTCCACCAGTAAAAGACAAAAATTTCCAGATTGAATAAAAAGTTACATCTATTTACCAGTATAAATAGAGGAAAAAAATTACCACAAAAAAAGGGAAAAAAGGGGGGATAACTAGGATAAAAGATTATTTAAAGGAAAAAAATCACTAAATTATATGGAGGATCATTTTATTTTGGTAAAACTAAACCTCTTAAAATGTACTAACTTTTATAAACATTAATTTTAGAATTAAAATACAAATATTTTCTTAAAAAATACAAGACTATACTAGTGGTAATAATAGAGAAAAATTTAGCTCCCCTCTCTCAGTCCAACAGATCAACTGGGACAAAAATTAAAAAGGATGTAGAGCAGTAGTTTTCCACTATGCTCTGTGAAGTAGAAGAAAAAGCAGGAAAATTCTAGGGCCCTCATCCCTACTAATCAGACTAGCTCTGCTTTTGAGTATTTTTTTAATTTTCATTTTTTAATGTACAAATGTTTCATAAGATATTTGATTTGATAAAAGTTAAATTACTTTAAAATTAAAAAATAATAAAAGTATTAGAATGAAATATTAACAAAAACTGTCTAAAACCTAATTTTTAAACTCTTTAAGCTCTTTTTTCCCCAATAGACACAAAACTTTCATAAAAACTGGTTCATTTAGTTACTTAAGATTGATTCAACAAGTTCCAAACAATGAGAAACTATACAAGTCACTATTTTTACATATCAACACATATGTCATATGTCTTCATCTATTAAAAATAAAAGCCCTGATAAAAAAGAAAAAGACAGTTATGTGGAACATCATCCAGTAACCAAAAAGTTGAGGGCTCACTTCCTGGTCAGGGCACATACCTAGGTTGTGGTTCCATCCCCAGTCCTGGTGGGTCTGGGCACGTTCAGGAGGCAACCAATCTCTGTATCTCTCTCACATCAATGTTTCTCTCTCTCTCTTCCTTTCTCCCTTCCTCTCTCTCTAAAAGAAATAAAAAAATGGCCTCAAGTGCAGAATAAAAGAAAAAGAAAAACACAGTAATATATGCTTGTATTATTTACCATAAATAATAACTGTATTGATTATTAATCTCAGTAAGTCAGAATGATATAAATTTGCCAATCAAGAAGGAAGATGAGAAAATTAAAAACAGAGTAGTTAATTAAGACAAAAAAGTAATACTCAAAATCCTTATTTTGAAGACCAATAAAAAAGACAAATCTCTGACAAAGCTAATCACTTAAAAAAATTACAGCTAACATTTATTGAATACTCACTATTTGCTATATATTTTGGAAAGTAATTTACAAGAACTTAATTCACTTAATCTTCAAAATAATATTACATAAATCATTCATTCACTTATTTCATAAGCATTTATTAAGTACTCACTATAACCACAGCACTCTATGAGACACTATGGACATACTGCTGAGCAAGAGAAATGAAGCCACTGCCCTGAAGATATTTGCATTTTGAAGGAGCAAATAAATATCTTCATTAAACAAAATTTACAACTTAGATAATTTTTTAAGATCACATAGCATCTTTGTGGCTAAATTGTATTTGCTCCTAAACTGTATTCCTTCAAGGCCCATGCTATTAAGCAAATATACAATGCTAATAATAATTATAATTATAATAATAGATTTAAATAGTTATTATTTATATAACTCATTGCTTAAACAGAAACTATGGATGAAATAGTTGGTTTTCTAGGGAAACATAAATTACCAAAATTGATACAGTAGATATTTGAACACAATGCAATTAAAGAAAACAGAAGAAATTGAAAACACTGTAGAAAAGAACAAAGCAACTAACTCTATTATGGTAATAAACCCAGGTGACTTTTTGTGAGAGTTCTATCAATACTCTAAAGAATATATAATCTCAGTACTATTTAAGCTATCAAAATAGGGATGGAAGTATTCTGTCATGTTCACCAAGCTATCATCCATCACTGTGATAGTAATTAATCAAAGCTAGCTTGTAGACAAACCAACTACCAACTCACTAACAAGAGTACACACACACAAACCAACAAACCTAATAAATAACAATCTCACCTTTGAATATTGGTGCAAAAATCCCAAATTAAAAAAAAAGTTACAAATCATTTCTCACATATGACAAGGTCTGTCCAGAAAGTATTCAGCCATGTACTATGGAAAATAGAGGCATTTATTGAAGAAAATACAAGCAGTATTGTATATAGTACAATGACAGCTCAGTCCCCTTCCAAGTACGCATCTTGGGAATTCACACAGTTCTCTTCTCCCAATTGCCATCGGCTTTCCTGTTGTGTTTTCCTAAATCTCATCGACAGTCTGAAATCTCTTCCCTTTCAAAGGTGATTTTAGTTTTGAGAAAAGCCAGCAGTTACAGGGCATCAAATCTGGGCTTTGGGGGGCTGAGTCGCCTGGGTGATTTGACATTTCACCAAAAAACTCGGCATGAGTTTTGATGCACAAGCCGGTGTATTGTCATTATAAAGCTGCCAATCACCAGTTGCTCATAGCTGCAACCTTCTGAATAATCCAAATAGTTTCTTTGGAGGAATGTTCAAGCTTAATGTTAAACCTGATACAGATTTGTTGCTCTACTGGTTCTGTCATTTTGAATGTGATGGTCACACAGTACACATGCTCACCCAACCACACCCACTGGATAGTATGGTGAAGTCTTCATTGTTCACACATGTGCATTCCAGTCCTCTCTCTTTGGCTGCCATGTTACACCGATGGCACATAAACTGTTGTTGCTATATTAACAGTGGCTGGACTGAAGGGCTATTCCAAAATGCAAGGTTTCATTCTTTGTGGATGTTGTATATAGGTACCTAAATAAACAAGCAAAAATTGTCAACTAATATCCAGAAATTTCACTTTATGTTTCATTCCTAAGGAATAAATCAGAAAGGCATTAAAAAATACACATGGTCTTTATCATAACATTGTTTATAACAGTGAACATTGCTATCATTTCTATAGGGAAAATTAGTGGGAAAATATCCTGTCCTTAGTAATTATATGTTACAATAGATGTGAGTAGTACACACAAAGACTTTGTTGCTTAAAAGAAAAAAAAAAATTCCAGCAGCCTACATGAGTAAGAAAAGACCGTTGAAGGGGGAGGAGACATTTAGGACAGGTCTCAAAAGATTAGTAGGATTTTAACATATGATTGGAAACACACAGAGATGTCTTTTTGTGTCAGGAACTATGGAAATGAAGTAGTGAGAAATCGAGCTGAAAAAGAGTAGGTCCAGACCGTAAAGTAAATAATAAATAATCAACAGAATAGAACTGAGAAGGCTCAAACAAATTTAAGTATGTGAGAACCAATTATATGACAAACACAACATTACAAATATTGTGGGAAAGGGAGTTATAATGATACTGAAATAATTAGTTGCATTCCCTATCTTACACCAAAAATGTGAATATAGTTCAGGTGGATTAAAGATCCAACCACTTAAAAACACTTTTCAAAATATTACTAGAAATACTGCAGAAAATGTAGACATAAACTTGGGTTTACAGATAACTTTATAAACAAATAAAAATTCAAAATCATAAAGAAAACCGCAGAAATATTTGTTTCTCCTAAAAATGTTTATAAAATTTCATCACAGAATTTTTTCTTTGAAACAAAGTCTTGATGGTTCTAATACACACAGAACTCTAAGAAATTAATTTAAAGAATGCAAACAGGCAAATAGGAAAATCAGAAAAGTAAAATAAGCAAATATTTCAGAAAAGCAGGTGCAAATGGCCAATAAATTATGAAAAGATGCTCACCTTTCTTAGTATTCAGAAAAATATTAATTAAAATAGCAAATGCCATTTTTCACCTTTCACTACTGACAAAAATTAAACAGATTAATCACATAAAATGATGGCAAGGATATGTGGAAACAGTCTCACATATTACCGATAGGTATGGAAACTGCCGCTATATTATTGAAAAACAATCTGGCAGTACTTATTAAAATGAAGAAAATGTACATGCCCTTTGATCCATCAATTCCACTTTTGTGAATGTCTGCTGCAAAAAAAGCAATAGTGCATGATATATGTGCACTGTTGTTTGTAGTAATATTGTTTCTTAGTGGCAAAATAAGAAAACAAAACAAAATAAAACTTGGACTATTCTAAATGTTTAACTATAGGAAATGGTTGATTAAATTCTGATACAACTCTACAGTAGAATAATATGCAGCTATTAACCAGAAGAAGCCATGGGTTGATCTTCGATTTGGTCTTTTAATAATAAATATTAAGTATATGAGTTATATTTTTAACAAAACATAAGCATCTTACATATGTATATATGTATCATAGAGACAAAGTGAGAGATTACATGCAAACTGCTTTTATTGTTGCAGAAAGATGATATTTGCAGGAGTGGGGGCCAAAAAAGTTCTTAATTTGTTTAGTTTATGAATCTTGTTCAATTCCTGGCTATAAGTATATATTACTTCATAATTTCACTAAATTACTTTTACCATTTAAATAATTTCACAAAGTTTTTAAAAATAAAGGATGTATTAACATTATGAAATATTGTTTCTGAATTGCTTTCCTGAAATAGAAGAGAAAAGTAACAGTCTACCTTGTCATCTAACTGCTTACTTATCAGACAATCTGCATGGAAAGTAAATTATATCAACCAGCACATGGTCCTTAATTGTGATTACACTTTATTGCACTCAGCCTGTTAAGTACTTAAATTATCAGACAACAGAATCTATGTTCCTAATAGTGGAAAGTGTATTAACGATATTTTTGTTCCTTATGTAGCCCAGTTCCAACAATCACATGGATGAAGGTTAATGGTTACATTCCTAGTAAGGCACGTCTGCGGAAATCTCAGGCAGTGCTGGAAATACCCAACGTGCAGCTGGATGATGCGGGCATATATGAGTGTAGAGCTGAAAACTCACGTGGAAAAAATTCCTTCCGTGGACAATTACAAGTTTACAGTAAGTGGTCTCAGCAAAGCATTATGCCCTAGTTCCAAGAGCCAAACTGAAAGCACAAAAACTTTGAACTAAATTTTGTTTTTTAGGTAGAAAAACCGAGCAGTAATTTATAATAATACTTCTTTGATATAATAAAGAATCATGTAAAACTACCATACACAGAGAAATGCTTTAAATTAAAAATGTATGGGGAATTATCAAGTTCTTTGCACGGCAGAGAGAGTTATTTGTAAAACTTAGATGTTTTCCTGGATAAGTTAAGAATCATTATTAACATAATCTTGCTCTAGGCTTGAAACAAGAGTCACAATCTATTGTCCATAAACCAAATTCTGTTCATCTTTTTTTTTTTTTTTGTAAATAAAATTTTATTGGAGCACAGCCACATTCATCTGCTTACATGTTACCTATGACAGCTTTTGCACTGCTACTACAGAACTGAGTAGGCAGACAGAGACCAGACAATGCAAAGCCTAAATTTGCTATCTGGTCATTAACAAAAAAAAAAAAAAAAAGAAAGAAAGAAAAGAAAAAGAAAAGAAAAAACCTGATGACCCTGGCTTAAATTCCTACTTTGATATGATAAATAGCGTTTACAGCCTGCAACTGTTTATACTGTCCAAAAATGCCAAAGGGCCAACCAGGTCTTGTGTAAGAATTTAGAAAACCTACTTTAAAATATCTACATTCTCCTCTACATCTCTAGGGATCACAAATTGAATCTATTGTTATATCTGCTTTTATAATATGCATTATACATAATGGGCAAGTGATATTATTCTTATGTCCCAGGTGAGGAGACTAAAAAGTAGAGGGATAATAACCCAGAACATTGATATAAACATATGCAGATGTTTCCAATATGAATTATCCAAATTGCATATTCAGTTGAATCTGCCAAGCAACTACAACCGTCACTGTATCTCAGTATCAGTCATCCTAAAAAGCTTAATGTTCTTCCCAGGGATTCTTAAAAGTATTTTAAAATATTAGTATCTGAATTCAATCTGTTTTTCTTTCTTTATCTATACAAATGGGCTGCCTTCATGAATACATACTCCAACCAAATTGACTATGCACATTTTATTCATTCATTCATTTATTCAATTAATGTTTACTAAGTGCTTATTACTGCTCTATTTGCTAGCAACAGAACTTTGAAGAAACTCATGGTCCATTGGATTAGATGTAAAGCAAATGCCACATTAAAGCAGAACATATTCTCTGCTGTGACCAAGTCATGTGCAAAGGATTATGGGGGCACAGTCTACTCCATTTTACTGGCATGAGTTAGGGAAAACTTTCAGAGTATTTGTACCTTAAGGGCTAAACTGGGGAAACCATCCTGGAAGAAGGATATATGAGTAGTTTAGAAGTTTGTAAGACTGAAATGCCAGCACTGATTTCATTATCTTTAGGTCATGGATATTACATTTGGATGAAGTCTATACAGGTAAAAATCTGAAAATTAAAGATAAGTGTTCAACCAGTATTTTGCTACTCAAATCACACCAAAAAAAAAAACAAAACAAAACACTGAGCATCTATTACTCTTAAGACTACTTGGGAAAAGTCCCAGATCTGTATTGTGAAGAATTGTCCTCAACTAAATAAGAATTAGATTTATAATCTGGAACAGAAGCACCTATAGGACACTAATCTCCTTGTCCCCTCCCCATCTCAGCTATTTCATTCATAAACAGTAGCAAATATTGCAAGAAAAAGAAACAAATTGCTTTCACTCCATTTTGCTGGTGTATCTTCTGGTGAGAAAATATGCTACTAAGAAACAGTTCTGAGCTCTCCTTGTTACCCACAATCATGTACACTGCAGGCCGGCGGGGTGCCAATACGCAGGGCATCTTGTGAGAGTGGGACAGCATCTGGGTTTAAGGAGTCATATGTCTCTTAAATTGTTCATATCCTAAAATAGGTGGCTTTACAAAAGCTAAGTAAAACAAGTTACTAGCTTTTTTATGTTTTAAATTTAAGGGTGGGGAAGACAGTGTAATAGGTGATTTTTACTTGTAAAATTGTTGGTAACATGAATTTGAATAATATTTTAATTGCATTTCTGTATCATCCACTGATTTTTGAGCTGACAGCAAATACATATTGTGGCATATTTATCTTTGCATTCTCAGTGCTAAGCATTGCACCAATAGTGATGTCCAATAAATATTTGAAGAAGGGAAAGCAGGAATTCTTTCTTTTTCATTTAATTGATCACTTGTTGATTCTAAAGACAAATTAATTTTGGAATCAGGACTCCAAATTGAGCAAAACATTATTTTGATTTCTAGGGGTTTTTTTCTTTCTAGATGACTAGTTTTTAATTTAATAGTTTTTTCTTTCCTAATTTTTCATTTTAGTAACTTATAAAGATCTTTTTTTCAGTTTCTTTTCATACCTACAAGCTACATATCCCTGCACTAGTTGGAGTATATACATTAAGACACATAAATATAACTAATCTCCTATAATCAACTATCAGGCAGGCAGGGGAAAAAATAGGTTTACAGTTTTTCATATAAAAATAATACAATAATTAGTAAGTAACAATGCAAGAATAGTATTTCATGTACTCACAACTATAAACCTACTTTTACCCCACCCTGTATGTGGGTCAGTGCTATGTCTAAAGTAAATATGTATGTCATGTGTCCACTGTGCTCCTGGTGATCTCACTATCCAGCTGGATTGTCAAACAATAACTAAAAATTTCAATTAACAGTTTAAGTCAGCAACAGAAGAGGGGTAACAAGTTACTATGTGACTCTTTTCCAAGTGAGTAAGGACGAGAGGTGTCCAGAGAAGATGCAGATGACTCCCCTGAAAGGTTAGGATTAATAATCCTTATATTACTGAGACAAAGCCTTGAATTATGAGAATTAAAAGAGACAAAGAAGAGAACTAAAATATTCCATGTGGATTCAACAGTCTGAAGAAGATACAGGGTATGTTTGGGAGACCTCTAATCTGTCCACTTGGATTATAGGGGTCATGGATATTTATGAATTTGCCTGGCAAACTAGAGTAGGAAAGTTTACAGAAAAGTCTAAATGAGAAAGCAGAATTTAAGGTTTCTTTTGCACCTGACTATTTCTATGAGTATTTTTTTGCATATGACTACAAAGAGGCTGATTTTGGAAGCCAGGTACAAAAAATCAGGATCAATATTTGAAGCTCATCATTGTAGATGGTTGAATGAAAGCTTCTAGCCTTGAAGTTGAAACACAGGGTATATTCTCAAAGGCCTATAAAGCCTAACTGTGCCAAGGTAAGACACCTTGAAGACCAGGCTATATGATGGCTAGAGGATCAATAATCTACTAAAAACAAAATTCCCACTTAGAGACAAGTTTGAAGGTAAAGCACTCTAGGTATGCAGCAATTGCCTTTGATTCATTTTTTTAATATTTCAAAATGGGATGGGAGAAATATGCTCCCTGAAGTCAGAAACATCTGACTTTGAAAGTGGTTTCTTTCCCTTACTGTGTGACCCTGGGTAAACTGCCTTAACTTCTCTCAGCCAAAAATTCCTGGATCATAAAATGAAACAACAGGATATACTTAGCTTATAGAAGTGTTTTCAATGATTGAAATATCATCACTGATTTTATATACATATATAATTATATATGTTTATATATATACACACATATAGGAAATGAGAGTTCTGTGGTAATAGAATGTTGTGCCTCTCCCAAACACCTATAGTTATGAATTGATAAAAATTGTTAATTCAATTAATACAGCCATATGAACTCTGAACTTGGTTAAGTGTTTGAAAAATGAATTCACCATTTTTTTAATGCTTAAACTCTTACAGCTTACCCACACTGGGTAGAAAAACTGAATGATACTCAGTTAGACAGTGGAAGCCCTCTCCGATGGGAATGTAAGGCTACTGGAAAACCCAGACCTACATACCGTTGGCTGAAGAATGGAGTACCCCTCTTAACTCAGGTACTGCTGGTAACTGTTGACCTGCTTGGTGTAGTTTTAGCAGTCTTTCCCAAAGAACAAACTGTACTCTTTTACTTATACTGAAATCCATTTTCTACTTATGCTTTAGAATATATTTGGAGTGAGAGACAACAAATATATAAACAATTTTTATTTTAATTATATTACTTTTTATTTTTTATAGTTTTGTTGATTTAAATTATCCATATTAAGATGTTTCTTTAATATGTATAAACAAAAAAATTCTGTCATAACAACATATAAAGTTAATTTTATAAATAACCAAATAAAATGTATTTTTTTAATTAATTTATTTTTTCAAATACATTTGTCTCTGCCTTCCCCCACCACTTTTTAAAGTAATATATTGTTTCTTTACATTTTATTGAATCTTATAAATTCATAGGAAAATATCAGTGATTATCATAGAGTCATCACAACTTGTAGCTGACTTTTAGATATTACCTGGCTTTTTACTGTCATTTTTCTGATGATGGAGACAACCCCCAAAAGTAAAATGACTTGGCCAAGATCATATATCTAGTAGGGGACTAATGTGGAATAGAATCCTAGTCTTCTGTGTCCTGAGCAGGTTTTTTCTATGGCATCCTGCTACCCATAGTCTTAAATATCTTTTTAGTAAAGTTGCCACAGGTTTACAAAACAACTTAATATGTTCTAGGTTTGAAAATAAATCAAGTACATTTAATTTCAGAATAATAGGAATAATTTTAGCTAACTCCTTCATTTATGGCCTTTGCAGGTAAGAAGGCAGGAAGGAGGTATATAAAGATGACATTCTGAACACAGGCTCTTCCCAGCAGCCTCTTGCCTATCATTTGTTTCTTTGGGACTCAGTTTGCTCCTTTGTAAAATGAAGAGATGAGATCAGATCATCCCTACTTCCCCATCCAACTCCAACATTCTCTTATTCTAAAACAAGTTAGACCAAAACAAACGCAATTCCACAAAAAGACAGACACATAGAACTGTTAAAAAAAAAAAGAGAGGTTGATGCGGTGGGAATCCTGAGGCATTGACTCATTGCCTCTTTCCCTCTAGTCCTCCCGGGATACCAGATAAACCTTGAGAAGGGACTATGCTGGTCATCTTTTCTACTGTCAGCGTCCGAATAAAGTAAATTCTATAAATTCCACTGGAAGATAATCCATTTGCAAAGTGAATAGGTTTATTTTGAAAATGATGTCAAATTACTTGGCATCTCTGTTGATAGATGATCAAAGTGCTGCTAACATTTAAAAATACTTTGCTTGGCATTCAGTAGACAAGACACCTGGTTGTTTAACAACATTTTATATATATAATTCACTTTGAAATGTGCTCTTGGCCTCACTTTACTTCAGTTTGCACATGATAACTTTTTTGTCTTCTATATTGCTTCTTCTGATAATAAAGTTTATATTTTTTGACCAATAATTTTATATGGAATCCAGTTACAGGGACTTTTTTGTGTGTGTTATTTTGTTAGGAAGTAAAAGAAAAGGCAAATTCTTTTTTTATGTTCACTAATTTTCTTATTTTATTTATTTTATCTTTTTATTGTTTAAATACATTTGTCTCCATTTTCCTGCCACCATTTCCCCCTGCCCTACCCACCCCTACTTCCCACCCTCAATCCTTCCCCACTTTGGCTTTGTCCATTGGTCCTTTATACATGTTCCTTGACTTGACCCTAAATTCTGATCATATCAATAGAGTAAAAGGGTCCTTGTTATGACTTTATCTATATTTAACTTTGATTCCATGTAGTTGTAGCCGTATCCTTTCTACCATGTGAACCCCTGCTTCTCCTTTATAAAGTGATTCAAATAAAAGCTTTATCTCTGATTGTACTTCATGAGCTCAACTAGTATACCAAATAAAAGTTGCTCTATTTACAAACAAAACTACAAGTAAAACTGAGAATAACTATAGAAAAATATAGTCATAGTTTCATTTCTAAGAAATAGTTATAATTTACATGAAATGTTATAACACAATAGTGAATAGTAAATTGTGTTCTAAGTTGTCAAATAATATTCATCCATGTTAATTGCAAGCTTTTTTTTTTGACCTAGCGCACGATAACTGTGGATTCTATACCTGATTTTTTTATTCCATTGCAGAGTAAGGTAGAGATGGTTAATGGAGTATTGATGATCCAGAATGTGAATCAGTCAGATGCTGGAATGTATCAATGTTTGGCTGAAAATAAATATGGAACCATTTATGCAAGTGCTGAGCTGAAAATTCTCGGTATGCAATTTCTAAATAAATAGGAAAAAGGTGTTGCTTTTTTTCCATGTTCTAATTCTTACTGCACTGTTTTTGTGATGTGGTTGTAAAAACCCTATTTTATGACTTGAAAATATACTATGTCTTGCTGATATATATATTTTTAAGCTTTAGGGGACAAGTTTATATTGGGTACAGTTTGTACCATAACTTTTATTATAAGATTTTTCTGACTTTACTTTTAAGCTTAACAGGTTTACACAATATGTCTCTTCTATGGCATTAAAAAAGTCATACCAGAAATATGTGTTAACTTTCAAGGAAGACTGTCCTGAGGGTAGGGAATCAGAATGCAGACTTCAAGCATCCTCTCCCTGCTCCCTTAGCAATGCTTAACATTTTCCCGAGCAGCTGTTACCTGCCAGTGGGCATGTGACTTCTGGAAGGCAGAACTCCACAGTAAAGCACCCTCTCATCCTGGCTCATCACCATTCCCACCGTTACACAAAAGTTTCCAGAAAACCCTCCTGAGGTCAGGCACAGCCATCTCATAGGCTCACACCCATGATAAGAATGTAACCAGCACAGTAGCACTGCTTCACTATTTACTACAGGAGAGATAAAATCCAGTGAACAGGCCACTCAGGTTGAGTATATTTGGGCAGCTGGACTAGATTTTACTTTTTCCCAGTCTGATGATTTCCTAAACTTTGGTTCTGGGATATTTATAATACGAAGAGAGATACTTAAGAGATCATAATTCATTGTCTCCCAAAAGTGGGCAAGAGCCCAAATGTAATTTCTATTTTCCACTTAAATTCCCAAAGCATGACATTAACAGAAACACCCAAGCTTTCAGGAATCTAGGAATTTACCATATACATTTCACCTAAATGTAATACACCATAAGTCAACTTATTAAATTATGAATGTTTGAACTTAAAGTTTCCCTATATTGTAACTAATTCATCCAAAATGGATACAGTGGTCCATGTTTCAGTGTCCTAAACCTAATCTATAAAATATTAATGTACTTTCTTATCAGCCCACATTTTGACATTTCTGAGATGAAACCTGATTGAGCCTTTGCCCAGTTAATTGTTTACTAAGAAACACTCATTCTTAGACATATTTTCAAAATTAACTTTTGTAAATTCTATTCCCAGTAGGCAACCAAAAATGTCACCTGCAATTTCCCCAGAAGTTTCTTCACTTTTCTTTCAATCTCTTAACCCATCTCAATTGCATATGTATCTTTCTTATGTTGTATATATATATATTAATGTTATTGTGCCATGTATTATATCACTACATGATGGACATAAAATGCTTATGAAATAATCACCAAATTGTCACAATGGTATAATATATGTCTCAGATAGAGTATACTTATATTTCAGGTTCTCTATTAGGTTCAAGTGTTTCTTTTTATAAATTTGCTTTCATACCTGTGTCATGTGTTCTTTTAGTTCAGTGTCCTCATTGACAGCTGCACAATGGAATTACCTGGGGCACTGCTATCGAAAGTGTCTTGATAAAAATACAGTAAAGTTAATATAAATGAATGATCAGGACTCTGAAAAATTGCAAATGATGAAATAGAACTTTGGATTGAAATTTAAATGATTCCAATTCTTAAAAACTGCACTCAATTGTGTATAACATCATAGTAAAATTTGCATTAGTTAAGACTCACAGGTAGGAAATGGAAGGCAGATCCTCTCCTCCGCTGGTAACCCCCCTTTTCTCATGGGAAGCCCAAACTAGACTTTTTTGCTGGACCCTTCACCTTTTGCCCAAGGTACTTATTAGTGTTTTGCAATTACACTTGATAACGATAATTAAAGCATGTCATTTTTTTAAAACAGACTTTGTCTGTGGATTCCACATTGTATGAAACCATCACCTAATGAAAAGGACAACCAATTAGATAGCTATTAATTAATAAGTTAAATTCTGTGCCAGTGTCTTTTACCTATGTAGATATTATATGATTTTATTATAAATGTATCCCAGAAGAAAAAGCTGCAAAATATTGTTGGATCATATATTAGAGATTATTGTCATTGCTTCTGGTAGAACTAACATTTTCTTTTTAATAGCTTCAGCTCCCACGTTTCCACTTAATCAACTGAAGAAAACAATAATTGTTACCAAAGGCCGAGAAGTCGTCATGGAATGCAAACCCCAAGGCTCTCCAAAACCAACCATCTCTTGGAGGAAGGGAGATAAAGCAATTAGAGAGAATAAAAGGTTAGAAGCTTATTTTGTAATTCAAACTCTTAATGTCAAACTTTTTTAAAGTAGCAGATAATACACTAAGGTATACAAGAGTCTTGCAGTAATTGTGTAACGTTTCATGAACTGATTGAAATATGGTTTTGTCTATATTGATTAAAAAAGACCCAAAGCTCTGTTTCAATATAGTGAGACTTCTTTACCTCTGCTGTTTCAACACCAAGTGGGAATTTCACCAGATTATGAGGAAAGCAAACACTTTTGTTTAAGTGAGTTATTTTTGGTTTTCATTTTGGGACTGCAGATTTGGGGATGCCCAAGTTATCTATGAACATGTTTAGAGATTGTGTTCTCATTTCAATATATACCTATCTGTATATAGATAGATAGATATAAATATAGATATAGGTAGATATAGTTGTATAGATGATATAGATATAGATATAGATATACAGATAGAGATATGGATGATATAGATAGCTGTATATTGATATAGATAGATTCTGGATTTTTTGAATAATCACTTTATGATAGAACACTTCCAAGTGAAATCTGTGCCTATTTGACTTCCTTTTTGTTTTTAATCATGTTGATACAAAACAATATAAGATTATTTCAATCATCTCAGGCAAGTAAGAAATGTGCAGAGAAATACATAATGTGTAAAGATTTGTCTTTGGTAAGTAAAGTCAAAGGGCACCACTGAAGTACAAATGGAAAAACAGATGAGAGAAGCAGAACATCTCATCACGGTTTATGTGTGCCAAGTTCGAAAGTCCAGTTCTCTACCAATAAATACCTAATGGTGTTGCACATGGTGATTCAGCTTCGACTAAATAATGTCCTCTAATATACTAAAACAATGTTGCGTGTGTTGTTTTAGAGTTTTGCTTTTTTTTTGATCTATAAATATGGAGTTCATACCTGGTTTTATGTTTGTCTGGATAAGTAATCATATAATTAAATAATGTAAGTCAGCATTAGGGGTCCATTTGAATAATTACTGAAGCAGTTTTGGAATATTTTAAAATATTCAAAAGATTTCTTTAAATATTTTTGTTTGCCCTTCAAGTTGGAGAAATACTGATTTAATTTGCCTGCGTCTGATGAAATAATTTGTGGAATAATTGGATTTAATTCAGTCCTGAGGATCTATGCTGCCTGCAAAGGGTATCATCAGGGATTGACATGGGTCATATTGGGCACCTCATTTTTTTAATTAATTAATTTATTTTTTTCAACTACATTTTTCTCTGCCTTCCCCCCACCACTTTCCCTTGCCCCCTCCTTCCCTCCCTCAATTCTTCCCCTTTGGTTTTGTCCATGAGTCCTTGTTGTATGTTCCTTGACTTCCCCCCTTCCCTTCCTTTCCTCCTGCTCCCCCCTCCTTCCCTCTTATCTCTGTTGGTTTCTTTGCCTTTCAGTGTTCCTTGTCTTATTTTCCCTGCATCTTTGTATTGTTGGTTAGGTTCCGCTTATAGGTGAGATCATATGGTATTTGTCTTTCGCCCCCTGGCTTATTTCGCTTAGCATGATGCTCTCTAGTTCCATCCATGTTGTTGCGAAGTTTAGTAGTTCTTTTCTTTCTGCTGCGTAGTATTCCATTGTGTAAATACACCATAGTCTTTTGATCCAGTCATCTACTGATGGGCATTTAGGTTGCTTCCAACACTTGGCTATTGTACATTGTGCTGCTAGGAACATTGGGGTGCATAGGTTCTTTTGAATTGGCGTTTTGGGATTCTTAGGGTATAGTCCCAGCAGGGGAATCACTGGATCAAAAGGCAGTTCCATTTTCAGCTTTTTGAGGAAATTCCACACTGCTTTCCACAGTGGCTGCACCAGTCTGCATTCCCACCAACAGTGGACTAGTGTTCCCTTTTCTCCACAGCCTCGCCAGCCCAGTTGTTCGTAGATCTGTTTATGATAGCTGTTCTGACCGGTGTGAGGTGCTACCTCATGGTGGTTTTGATCTGCATTTCTCTGATGGCTAGTGATGCCGAGGATCCTTTCAAATGTCTCTGGGCCGTCTGTATTTCTTCTTTGGAAAAGCGTCTGCCCAGCTCATTTGCCCATTTTTTGATTGGATCGTTTGTCTTCTTGGAGTAGAGTCCAGTGAGTTCTTTATATATCTTGGAGATCAAACCTCTATCTGATGTATCATTAGCAAATATATTTTCCCATAGAGTTGGCTTCCTTTTCATTTTGCTGATGTTTTCTTTAGCCGAGGCACCTCATTTTGAAAGAGAATTTATCATTTTGTTTGGGGCGAGGGGCCTGGCAGTGGGCAAAATTCACAAACTGCCAGATCACTGTTGTATATGGTTGAATTGCATATGAATGAATTGAATTTTTTTGGATTGTTGCTTATAAAAATACTGGCACAAACCTTATTAAAGCAGAAGAAAACATTTGTATTGTAAAAACAAATAATTTATTTTGCTTATTTATCATTTTTTCTGAATGTACTGAAATTTTTATATCATATATATACATATGCATACACCCATACACACACAAATGCCATATCAGTGCAAGCTATTCCCTTTGAAATGTTTGCTTGTGTGTGTCACATGAGCCTTCTCCTGTTTATTTTAGTTTATCATAGAAAAGTCCCCACCAACTCTTCATAGACATCTCACTGCGAGTTCAAAAAATTAGGTGGCATCTTTTTTTTTCAAGGCAAATGTATTGAGAAAGGAACAAAATTATGAGTTTTCTATTACAACAAACTTAAGCATAATAAACTTTTTAAAATTTTTCCAGACGTTGAAAACAAAGTTGTGAATTTTCCAGTTTTGTTTACCCATTGTCACCTCACTGGTGACCCCTTGAGTTAGTGAGACAAACACCCTGGCCTCAGACTCAGGTCACGCAGGTCAGTTTTTCTAGAGGTCAGTACTTCTGGTCCAAGTGCTGTCCAGCAAGGAATCTGAAATGTAAAATATTTGTGTTTTTATTTATTCAAGTAAAAGCATGATGTGGCCACATTTGCTTAACATTTCGTCTACTCCTATATGTTTAGGTTTGTAAAGCAGTTTAATTTAATAAGCCCCAAAGTAAAGTGCATTTTTAAACTTAAAATCAGTAGAAGCACTTGCAAAATACAGTGTTTACTGCTGTATGATTTGTTATCATATCGGGCAATCCCAGGTTTCAGGAAGGATACAATTTAATTGGATATAAGAAACAATAAACAGTCAAGTATTAAAATAAGGAGCTAAGATTTAAATAACAATACAATAGATTTAATAAAGCAGAATGATAAGACACACATAGATGTTTTAAAAGCTATACATTCTAAAAATATAAATGGAAACTAGAAAGTTAAACTTTCAAATGTATATATTATATATTCTTTATCGTAAGATCTCAATATGTCAACTTCTATTCTTAGAAAAATTTTGACCAATTCTCTAATATAAAGCCCACCAACCATTTCATAAGAACTGTAAATGTAATTTAAGTAGAAATGGAGATGTTAGAAAACTATTAAAGCTTTGAAAACTTTGCATATATATTTCACATTAAGCCTACATATTTAAATCATGATTTATTTTAAAATAAGTGTAGTTACCATTTATGTGAGCTGCATTAAAAATGTTCCTCATTCACCCAAACTAAAACAACTAGGAAAAACCTTAAATGAATTAGCCTTGTCCATCTTTCACAATTTTCATAGTTTTTGGGGGGGGGGGGCTCATTCCAAATTAAAGATTAAAACAGAAAATGGAAGTTCCCTAGATGGGCAAATAAAGCTAGTTTTATAGTTTGGGAACAGTGTTAAAGTAACAATATATTATAAGGGAAACATTTAAATATGAGAAAGATAGCATTTCAAAGCAAAATTATATTAGGAGCAATGGCATAAAATATAATGAAATATTTTAATTGCAAAAAAATATTATCTGTTCACCTGTAGACATACCATAAACTCAAAAATTGAATATGAATCTAGAGTTAATTGCAATTTAACACTAAACTGTAAATGCAAAGTTGTAACAACTTATAGTTAATATTAAATCATTTGTTTTATCAACAGAGTGCCAAATAACCCATGGCTTATCCTCTTCTGTCAAATTTGGTTTAATCTTTCAAGTTTTGTTTTGTTTGTTTCTTTTGGGGGGCATTCAATATACAGCTTTTTGTGTATATGCATCTGTTTCACTAAAGAAAAACATGTCATTATCCTAAAGGTTAAAATTCGGTAAGTAATAACTAGAATAGAATATGACTTTCAGGGAAAAAAATGATTAGCAAATAAGTCACCTGATTATATATTACAAAATATTTCATTTATTTGGTCCTAAATGATACACCTGAAGTATATAAAAAGTAAATTATGTTAGAGCTTGTGAATTATTTGTAGTTGCTTGCTGTTTATGTCACAGAATGAGTTGTTTATATAACAGGATTTTCAGTATGAACTGCTCTTCTAACAGTAAATCATATTAATGATGATAATTGCTTAAAATGTATGGCATTTATAATTTGCAAAGCACCTTCATATTGTGGGTCACAGTGTAATCCAGTGTATAGCAGGACTTGGTTGCCCTCGCTTATTCTACAGACAAAAACATGGGTGAGAATCATACATGGCAAAATACGGTACTTCTTTTATTTCCCTATTTGTAATATTGGTTTCCAAAAGATTAAGCTCATTGGGTGTGAGCACTGAATGAAACTTTGCATGTAAAATACACTGGCATGTGTGGCATTTAATGAGGATTCAATGAATGTTACTTGTGTGATAATGATGCTACTGCTGTTGCTGATAGTGGTGGTCGTGGTGATGATGGTGTCATTCGAACATTTGAATCATTGAACACTGGCATCAATTTTTATCAATAGTTCTAGAAATTTTTACAACTCCTATTCCTGGCATGGCCATTCTCACCAACTTTACCTACTCCTAGTTCAGTATCTTTGAGAGTTTCTCTCCTAGCAGGGTGAATATTTATTTTTTCCATGATTAGCATTTTAGGCACTGCACAAACAGGTTAATATACCCAAGG